CTCTCTAATTCTGCTTTTCAAGTACATAAAGAAACCTAAAAAAAAAGGGCTATTCAGGCACATGGCCTCCCTGGAGTCCTCTGAGTTTGTGCTACTTCTGAGGGCTGACTGATTTGCACATTGTTCCTTGCTCAATGAAATGCTATAAAATTTACCTTGTTAGGGCAGGTGTTTGGCATAGTAGTCAAGATGTTGGGTCAAGTCCCAGCTCCACTCTTGATGCCAGCTTCCTGCTACTGTGCGCCCTGGACAGTAGTTGGGTCTCTGCCACCGTGTGGGAGAGCTGGGTTGAGTTCCTGGCTCCAGGCTTTGTCCTGGCCCAGACCTGGATGTTTTGGGGAGTGAACCAGCGGATGGGAGATCTGTCTCTATGCTTCTCGAAAATAAGCAAGTAAAAATTTTAAAAGCAACTTAATTTCTTTAAAGTTCCTCTTTTATCAGATCAGTGTCAGAAGTGGGGTCCAAAGTAGAGCTTCCAGTGACCCCCACCCGGGAGCATAAAGGGACCGAGAGAGGTACCTGTGTCCCTTGCTCCCAGCCACTGGGGATCCTGGGCCATTTTCTCCCAGACTCTGAAGCCCTACAGGTTTGTGTTTTGAGCTCTCTGAGTTTGTTTGATCTGGACTGAGTTCAAAAGTTGGCTTTGGAATCGTGAATAATGTCCATGGAGATTTTTCAACTACATTATTTGTGATTTGTGTTCTGACAGTTTCGGGTAGGACCCAACTTTCTTCCACTCCTTGGAGGCCACAGGAGAGGAGTTTCTGGCCCCTCTGAGGTCCCTCGGCCTCCTCACTAAGCCCCAGGCAAGTTCTTCTAGGATGGGACTCTTGCATTACTGTGAAGCCCTTGACCTTCCTGGTTGGCGTTGGAGTCTGATTTTGCCCTATGCGAGGGTGCCTGACCTTGAGGTGGGTACCCAGGGTCTGTGGGTGCTGCCACAGGGCCTGGGATGGCCTGGGGCCTGGGAGGACTGATGAGTTCACTGGTAAAACTGGAACCCAATCCAGATGCTGATTCACATTGGTGTCGGTGCTGAACCGAATCAGACTCAACTAAGAGGCCTCAAGTGTCTGATGGGGTTAGACAGAAACTGCAGCTGGGTTCAGGGTTGCATTGTGGTACCAGAGAGGGCTGCCCAGAGGCTTGGCTTTGCACAGAAGGAGTTCCAACGTGAGGCAGAGGGATCCGGCCTACATTCAGAGTGGTGTTCTTATGGGTATGGGTATGGTTCCCCATCCCCCACGCCAGTTTCTCCTCCCTCCTCCCTCTTCTGGGAACTGGCTCGATGGAGGGCTTCCTGGGGATGGAGTTCCTGAAAGTCCTCCCAGGACCTCATCAGCGCAGTGTTATTGGACCTCTTGATGTATGTGGGGGAAGATGCCCCTGGGAATCGGCTGTCCCCAGGGAGAGACCGGGATCCACTAAGAGGTGAGTAAGCAAGAGCAGTGCTTTAGGGTATACTTGCTGGCCTGCTGACAAGGCTTCTTTCCAGTTCCCACGGCACAAGCATGCCCATTTTCTTCCACCCCGCATACCCACATGGGCTAACATCTTCCTGCTACCTAACAAGTGCATCGTCACGGTTCAAGGAGCCTGGGAGCCCACCTTGTGGGACCACAGCTAATTGTATGTGTCGACCTTTAGGAGGCTGGAGCATGTATTTTGGAAGAAAGGTTCATGTCCCTAGAAATAACTCCAATTGAAGTGGTTACAGTGGTGGGAGGTTCTCATTGGGGATAAAAAGCTTTTTTTTTTTTAAATTTTTTAGCAAGCATTGGAAAAGCAGCAATAAGACGTATTCTCTGTATGTGGAGGCATCTAAAAGATTCTATGCATCAAAATTTCCTTCCCCTGAAAATTCTTTGCAGAAGGCAAGAGGAAAGCTATGCAGCAAGGAGGGTCGTGGCCAAAGCGGGTTTTCTCCTGGTGAAACTAGCCGACTGCTCCTCTCTACGCATTTTTATCTCCACGCTCGGAGCTCATTAACCTTCTTGCTCAACCACCTTTTCATCTTGGGATGACACAAGAGAGGAAGTTAGTAGGGACTGGATTTTTTTCTCCCAAGCTCCAATTGCTTTGGAAATCTATTAAATTCCAGTCAAACTCAGCATCTTCCAGTGAGGGACCAATGTCCTGTGAAATTCTTCCCTTTTTCTTCATCTAAAACTCTGTAGCTCACTCAGCCCTGCTCCTCTCCCAGGGCTCGGTGAAGCCCAGACTGTGTGAGTATGGCGTTGGAATCAGTGGCCCCCGAGTTTATTTATAAGAGACTGAACTGGATAATGCTGAATGGACACTTTCTGTGGCTGGGCTTCATGCCAAAAAGGCTCAGAAGGAAAATATCAGGCAGGGAGGTGCAGTTACAACCACTGCACAGCTCTGCCTTGGCTTACGCTTGCTGGTCACGCTTTTTTTTTTTTTCTTTTTAAAAATTTATTTATTAATTTGAGAGGCAGAGTTACAGACAGAGAGAGGGAGAGAGAGAGAGGGAGGTCTTCCATCCGCTGGTTCACTCCCCAAATGGCCACAATGGCCAGAGCTGAGCCGATCTGAAGCCTGGAGCTAAGAGCTTCCTCCAGGTCTCCCACGTGGGTGTAGGGGCCCAATCACTTGGGCCATCTTCCACTGCTTTCCAAGGCCACAGCAGAGAGCTGGATTGGAAGTGGAGCATCTGGGACTTGAACCAGCACCCATATGGGATGCCGGCGCTGCAGGCAGAGGCTTAACCTACTGCATCACAGCACCGGCTTCATCACACTGTCTTAACTGGGTACCCATCCCCTCCTTCCTTGGTTTGGGCAAACAGTGGTACACAGATGTGAAGTTCCAGCTCTGTACTTCTGAGATGTCACTTTTCTACCTTGTTCTACCTCAGTCATCCCTTTGGAAATGCGAATTCAGTTTTTAAATTTTGGGTGGTTATTAAATGGAATCTACCAAAGATTGTTTGGGCCAGAGGGACCCCTTCTAACCCCCAGTCTTGCAGGCCCCAAACCAATTCACTCTAATTACTCCAGTTACAAAGTTAGAAGGAAAAAAAAATCACAATCACAATGAGCAACCTAGCTAACAGTTGCAGAGGGAAGTCACCAGGGAGATCAATTAAAATAAAAATAAAGAAAAGAACAAGTGTCTCCCGACTCAACCCACTGTTGGAATGAGATAAAAGTTTATAGATGGACTTGTTGTAGGTTCAAAGTTCTTTCTCAGTAACACGAAGTTTTAAAGACATGTCAACTCAGAGGTACTCATGAACTGTCTGAGTCTTCCTAAGGTTGAGATACTGCTGAATGTAGGTTTAGAATATATATACGGGGCCGGGCTGTAGCATAGTGGGGAAAGCCACCAGCATCCCATACGGGCGCCGGTTCAAGTCCCAGCTGCTGCACTTCTGATCCAGCTCTCCGCTATGGCCTGGGAAAGCAATAGAAGTTGGCTCAAGTCCTTGGGCCCCTGCTCCCGCATGGGAGACCTGGAAGAAGCTCCTGGCTCCTGGCTCCTGGCTCCTGGCTCCTGGCTTCGGATCGGCCCAGCTCCGTCCATTGCAGCCATCTGGGGAGTGAACCAGCAGATGGAAGACCTCTCTCTCTCTCTCTGCCTCTCCTCTCTCTGTGTGTAACTCTGAATTTCAAATAAATAAATAAATCTTTAAAAAAATAAAGTAGAATGATTGTTTCACCCAAAGTTTTGGGGAAGAAGAATCTTGTGAAAGGAATTTTACATGTTATCCAGCTGACTATAATTAGCCGGAAATTATTTAGAAGTTTTTCTAAAAATTGAGCAATCATGGCCGGCGCCGCGGCTCACTAGGCTAATCCTCCGCCTTGCGGCGCTGGCACACCAGGTTCTAGTCCCGGTTGGGGCGCCGGATTCTGTCCCGGTTACCCCTCTTCCAGGCCAGCTCTCTGCTGTGGCCAGGGAGTGCAGTGGAGGATGGCCCAGGTGCTTGGGCCCTGCACCCCATGGGAGACCAGGAGAAGCACCTGGCTCCTGGCTCCTGCCATCGGATCAGCGTGGTACGCCGGTCTCAGCGCGCTGGCTGCGGCGGCCATTGGAGGGTGAACCAACGGCAAAGGAAGACCTTTCTTTCTGTCTCTCTCTCTCACTGTCCACTCTGCCTGTCAAAAAAAAAAAAATAATTTAAAAAAATTAAAAAAAAAATTGAGCAATCATGTAAAAAGTGACACTGGTCCAAGACTAAAATTTGGCCCTCTCTGTTAAAATGGCAAGGCTTTCTTGGTCTATTGATCTGCTCTTTTTTAATTATTATTATTATTTTTTTTTTTTGACAGGCAGAGTGGACAGTGAGAGAGAGAGAGACAGAGAGAAAGGTCTTCCTTTGCCGTTGGTTCACCCTCCAATGGCCGCTGCGGTCAGCGCGCTGCAGTCGGCGCGCTGCGGCCGGCGCACCATGCTGATCGAAGGCAGGAGCCAGGTACTTCTCCTGGTCTCCCATGGGGTGCAGGGCCCAAGCACTTGGGCCATCCTCCACTGCACTCCCTGGCCACAGCAGAGAGCTGGCCTGGAAGAGGGGCAACCGGGACAGAATCCGGCACCCCGACCGGGACTAGAACCTGGTGTGCCGGCGCCACAAGGCGGAGGATTAGCCTAGTGAGCCGGGGCGCCTGCCTTGATCTGCTCTTAATAGGACATTGTAAGTACTTACCTTTTAGGTAACTGGCCTACAAAAATTCTGTTTTGTAAAGATGGTTTCCTAGGCATCCTGTTGCTTTTGTTGTCTTTAACTACTTAGGAAATCGAAGTCCTCTCTATTAAAAAGTGACGGTTTGCCTATAACTATGCAAGCTTCGGCCTCTGCCTTTGCAGTCTTCAGAGCACCACCGATTAAGTGAATGACTACCAATTCACATGGCCTATGATGCTATTTTTTGGGCGTTGTAAACTTCCAATATTCTTGACAAATTTCCCCAAAGTAAGTCTTAAGTTCTAAAGTAAATCTTTTTCTTGACCTCAAATTCTCTCTGGGATTTTTCCAGTTGGTCCCTTAGACACTCTGACGGATACATCTCTCACTCTGTGAAAAAAACATCAAACTGATCTGAATGATTTGATATGTTGGATCACATGGGAAGCGTTGTCCAATGAGAAGGGATGCCGTATCTTCTGTAAGTTACATTAACGGGCATATTGATAAGACTGCTCTAAAAATTAAATGAGATTCCTAGAAATTGGTATGCTAGTGGTCATAATTTTGGTTATTATGTTAAAATATTAGACACCACATTCTGTCTCTCTCTCTCTCACTGTCTATAACTCTATCTGTCAAATAAACAAATATTAGACACCACAGAAACTATCCAGTCTCCCTACCAATTGCTGGATATAATGATCGCTTATCAGATTTTTACCCATAGCCTTTTTGAGTCTTGTCCTCCACTAATTGCTTTGTTCTGCTGCTTTTTTTCCTGAAAGCTTTTTGCAAGCAACTATCACCCTCAAAGTCCCACCAGGGGTTCAGGAATTCATGGAAGAAGAACATGATCTTTTCATTTTACTTTATCGTTAAAGCTTTGAAGCCTCCTCATCTGTCTCCAGTGAGACTTATGGGAAAGGTGGGGAAGACTCTGACAAGTACGGATTTCTGATAACCTTAAGACCACACCATAGGACTGGATAAGGGTTCCCAGAGCTCTAATGAAGAGACTGGTTGCTTTATGAAACTGCTTATCCAACAGCAAGAAGAACAAGAATTAATGTACTACCAAGGATACACTTTGGCAGATTTTCCTGCTAAGTCAGCCAGTACTGGAACTGTTAAGCAGTGCAGTTTGAATGAACGCCATCATCCAAGTCCAAATATTTATGATAAGCTCTTAGTTATCAGTGCCAGGCACTTGAACTGGAGAAACAAAATTGGCATTTAAAAAGACATAAATCCAGCTCGCTTGAGCAGCACATGTACTAAAATTGGAACGATACAGAGAAGATTAGCATGGCCCCTGTGCAAGGATGACATGCAAATTCGTGAAGCGTTCCATATTTTTCTAAATAAAGTCCTCAATAAACCTACATGAAACAAACAACCAAACAAACAAAGACAAAAATCCAGCATCACGCATGGACTCATGGAGGCCTTGGATGGTCTCTGGTGAGAGCTTCCTTTATTAAAACTTCTGCACTCTGGGGCAGCATCGTGATGTAGTTGCTTAAGCATCTGCTTGTGGCACTGGCATCCCTAGTGGGCACCGGTTCGAGTCCCGCTGCTCCACTTCTGATCCAGCTCCCTGCTGATGGCCTGGGGAAAGCAGTGGAAGATGGTCCAAGTCCCTGCGTCCCAGCACCCACTTGGGAGACCTGGAAGAAGCTTGTGGCTCCTGGCTTTGGATCAACCCGGCTCTGGCCATTGTGACCGTTTGGGGAATGAGCCAGCAGATGGAAAACCTCTCTCTCTGTCTCTCCCTCTCACTGTAATTCTGCCTCTAAAGTAAATAAAAAAAAATTAAAAAAAAAATAACCCTCTGCATCCTGACTCACCATGGAAGAGAAAAAAAATCTAAATTATGAAAAAAAGTAATTGGTCTGGTGACAGTTCTAAAATTGCTGAAATGGTTTATGAGCAATATTTGGTTAGTGAAACCCATCATCCTAGGAAGACAAACTCCAGGTGTGGGGCTGGCATCGGGAAATAGCAAGTTAAACCGGTATTCCATATCAGAGTGCAAGTTCAAGTCCCAGTTACACCAATTCAACTCCAGCTCCCTGGGAAAGTTATGGATGATGGTCCAAGTGCTTGGGCCCCTGCCACCCATATAGGAGATCCAAATGGAGTTCTTGGCTCCTTGTTTTGGCCTGGTTTGGCCCAACCCCAGCTGTTGTGGCCATACAGGGAGAAAACCATACTATGTCACTCCTCAATACAGTCCTTCTGATAAACAGCAGGCCAAGGACACTCTGTGCTAGGGGAGAGAGACAACAGGCTGGGTCCCGCCTGTGTGTTGTGGAGGATCAGCGTCTCTGGCCATGCTCTGGTCTCCTGGTTCTGCAGGGAGGGAACGTGGGTTCTTATTTGAAGCTGTAGGTCTTCCTCCTTTGGTTATGTGGTTGTAACTGCTGTATCTGCAAGACAGTTATCCACAAAGTCAAACCGCTGGGCCTAGTTCTTGTGGCTACAAATCCCTCCTTCTGCTATGTATTCCTTACTCTTGAATCAATAAGGCAAGGATGGCTCTGGCTACTAGGGAGCCTAGATCTCAGTTTGAAGAATATCAGAGCAGTAACAGAACAAGAAAGAAAATTTGCGATCTCAAAGAAAATCTCCGGCATCCTGAGGAAGCCAACTGAAAGGAGCATGGAGCTGATTAAACCCTGGTTCTTGGGGCCACGTGGCTTTTGTTTGTTGAAATGTAAAGAAAGAATTGAAGATCCAAAAACACTTCCTGAAAGATCAACTTTTCCAGAAAACCATAGCTACTCAATGCATTGCATTTATTGTGTTAAAACATGCATGAAACACAAATACAAAAATCATGAAACCAGCCGTCATTCTTCAACACACTGAGCAAAGATAAAGTGCCTAAGGAACCACACGGCTGACTTGCCAAGGATGGGCTCTTTACTTAAAGTATCATCAAGAAAAAGGGCACAAATGGACGAGTGTGTTCACTTACACACACTCAACTGAGCCTTCGGCACCAGGAATCAGAGCTCCGTGTCCTATAGTATTATCACTTATTATAAAAGTGTGCAGTGGGGCCAGCGCTGTGACGTAGTAGGTTAATCCAACCCCTGCGGCACCGGCATTCCATATGGGCGCCAGTTCAAGTCCTGGCTGCTCCACTTCCAATCCAGCTCTCTGCTATGGCCTGGGAAAGCAGTAGAAGATGGCCCAAGTCCTTGGGCCCCTGCACCTGTGTGAGAGACTTGGAAGAAGCTCCTGGCTCCTGGCTTTGGATTGGTGTAGCTCTGACTGTTGCAGCCATTTGGGGAGTGAAACAGCAGATGGAAGACCTCTCTCTCTCTCTCTCTCTCTCTCTCTCTGTAACTCTACCTCTCAAATAAATAAAATCTTAAAAAAAAAAAAAAAGGCATAGTGGTAAAGGACTAGAACCACCAGCATTGAAAAGCACCTTTGTCAACTAGGCAATAAAACCTTCTACAGCGGCCGGCGCCGCAGCTCAATAGGCTAAACCTCCACCTTGCGGCGCCGGCACACCAGGTTCTAGTCCCGGTCGGGGCGCCAGATTCTGTCCCGGTTGCCCCTCTTCCAGGCCAGCTCTCTGCTATGGCCTGGGAGTGCAGTGGAGGATGGCCCAGGTCCTTGGGCCCTGCACCCCATGGGAGACCAGGATAAGTACCTGGCTCCTGCCCTCGGATCAGCGCGGTGCGCTGGCCGCGGCGGCCATTGGAGGGTGAACCAACAGTAAAGGAAGACCTTTCTCTCTGTCTCTCTTTCTCTCTCACTGTGCACTCTGCCTGTCAAAACAAAACAAAACAAAACAAAAAACAAAACCTTCTACATGTCCTTCTGTCGTCCATCACCAAATACACTTTGAAATGAAAAAAAGAAAACTGTTCAGAGAGATGCAAACGTTAGTGAGTGAGACTGCCCGGTGGCCCTCAGGGGGACCCACCTCAGCATCGCTGGCGCTGAAGAAAGTTGTAGAATTCTGTGCCGGGGCCTTGAGGAAGTCGTGAAGCTGACTTGGTAATAGAGCAAGGCTCTTCCCTCCAGAGCTGTCTACGCCAGCATTGCTCTGAACAATTGCGGTAGGTGTGGCGCTCCAGACACCTGGGCCAAGGGCGCATCGGGCCGGCGGCGAGGTGTGCGGGTCAGCTGAGTGCCCAACATTGTCTCATTCCTGCCACAGCTTCACTAACAGCGTGTTCCCTATTACCTGTGTTTCTCGTCATTGCCTGCTCCTCCAGAGTGGAATCCACAGTCTCTGGGCAGGAAGAGGAAGGGGCTGTTTTAGTCAGGTGATTAAGTCCCAGTCATCAGCGAACCACGGTTGTAGCTCCGCAGGAGTCTTTACTGACTAACACTCTGTCTGTGCATGTGTCTCCATTTCCTTTCTGTTTCGTTTGTACTTTTTTTTTTTTAAGATTTATTTATTTGAAAGTCAGAGTTACACACAGAGAGAGAAGGAGAGGCAGAGAGAGAGAGAGAGGGAGGTCTTCCATCCACTGGTTCATTTCCCAGTTGGCCACAATGGCCGGAGCTGCTCCGTTCTAAAGCCAGGAGCCAGGAGCTTCTTCCGGGTCTCCCACGCAGGTGCAGGGGCCCAAGGACTTGGGCCATCTTCTACTGCTTTCCCAGGCCACAGCAGAGAGCTGGATCAGAAGTGGAGCAGCTGGGTCTCGAACTGGTGCCCATATGAGATGCTGGCGCTTCAGGCCAGGGTGTTAACCCGCTGCACACAACACCAGCCCCACGTTTCTCCATTTTCAGTGGTGGGATCCAACTGTCTCACTGCTGCCACCGCCAACTCCACTCCCAGTTGTTCGCTCTGTGTTCTTCTTTCTTTCCCGTCTACGTTTTTCTCTTTCCTGGAGCGGCCCCTTGCCTCCTCCCCTCTGCACACCTGCTCCTGATTGGCTTCCTGACGCGCTCCCTGTGCCTGCAGATGGGTGGCCCCATGTCTGAGGGCTCTGCTGTCTGGAACCCGGGCATCCCAGCGTTTATTCCAACCACTGTTATGTAGGAAGTAGTCCACTTGTTTGTCCTTTATAGCAGCCTTTCCATACGTTGCTTCATAAAGAAGAGACCCACAAAAGCACAATCCTTGCTTAGCATCCTGGAATTTAGGCTTTGGGTCCCGCTTGGGTGCCATTTATTTATTTATGTGGGAGGTAGAGTTACAGATGGAGAGAGAGAGAGAGAGACCTCTGTCTTTCTCTCTAGAAAGATCTTAGGCGCCATTTATAAATGATTCGCTGCCTCCTCCTTCTCCCACCATCCCGACTGCCACCCCCTACCCTCTACCCCAGCCCCAGATGGCTTCTTAGAAGGACCTAGTCCCATGATGGGCAGCACTAGAGTTGTGGACGCTGATACCGCTTGTCTGCCCGCTGTCAAGACAGGCAGGCCCAGGACCATTGTCCAAACCCACAAACAGAAACGCATGCAAATGGAGCACACAAGGCCCCTGTGAGGTTTTGAAAATTTAGGTTTTGGGGCTGGCGCTATGGGTGGTGGGCTGGGCCTCTGCCTGTGGCACCGGAATTCCACATGGGCTCCAGTTCGAGTCCCAGCTGCTCCACTTCCCATCTAGCTCTCTTCTATGGCCTGGGAAAGCAGTGGAGGATGGCCCAAGTGCTTGGGCCCCTGCACCCACCTGCCTGGGAGACCTGAGGGAGGTTCCTGCCCCCTGGCTTTGGATCCTCAGCTCTGGCCGTTGCAGCTCTCTGGGGAGTGAACCAGCAGATGAGGGACCTTTCTCTCTGTCTCTCCCTCTCTCTGTAACTCTACCTCTCAAATAAATAAATAAATAAATATTTTAAAAATTTAGGTTTTAGTAGGTTTTCAGTTTTGGCTATGGCTTGGGAGATCCTTATCAAAGAATTAGCTGTCATTGCTTGAGCACAGATGATAGTTAGACAAAGGCATCTTACCTAGCGGGCAAACTAGCTTACCCCAAAGTTACAAGGCAAGCAATGGTCCAGCAAGTAGTCAGCCCTTACCTTATCTTATCGCTTTCCTTTCTAAGAGTAATGGGAGATCAGCTAAGTGTTCACGAGGGTAATTTCGCAGGGAGAAATCCTCAGTAGGATTCCACGGTCACCTGGGGTTTGGATGATTGGGTCCTTGTGCTCCTCGACCATTAACAGGTCTAATTTTTCCTCAGGTGCAGTGTTTAACTCTGTTTTTAACTGTTTAACCTGTTTAACTCCAGGTTTAACTCTCTTTAGCTTTACTGATGAACGGGTCCCAGAAAGAACTTCACAGAGACATTGGCTTGTAGCTGACCTCTGGGGTGGTGACTTTTCCAAGTCTTGAGGAGTACCCAGTGTCCTGGGCTCAGGTGGTGGAGGCAAACAGGAAATGGCTAGAATCCTACTTACATATGATGAACAACATGGCACCTACAGTGTTTAATTCTTTTATACCGTGATCATCCTATAGATTACAATACTATTCCATCTTGAAGAAGGTCTCATAGGGGCTTAACTGGAGCTTGCTTCTAGGGGTCACTCTTATTCTAAGGAACCTTGTCCCATGTTGAGTTGGTTTCTTGACATATTTTTGTGATTATATTTCAAAAGGCATGAGATGAGTCTTGTTTTCAAACTTGCCACTGGCCTGGGGCCTCCAAGAAGCATATAGCTTTGAATGTCTTTCAAGAGCTCCAATCACTTCTGGGGTAACTTTGGCTATGAAGGCTCCTCCACTGTCACTTTAAATTGAAAATTGCATCCAAAACTGGGGAGTGATTTATTTGGGCAAAGCTTTCATTGCTTTAGCCTTTTTGCTT